GATTGCTCAGTCCTGAGTTCATATGATCAAGCTAAGGTCTTACCATAGTTTAAGGAAGAGGTGGCATAGAAATCCATAGGATTTAACTGGCAGAAAGCCAATGATGTGTTTTCTGGGTTAAATATATTAAATTTGAGAATATGCACTAAAAAGGGCAAGTTACATACCTTCTGGGCTCAGAATAGCCAGAGAACAGAGAGTTTGTTGATCTAGAATATAGAAAGATTAGCAGAGTACCTACAGAAATATAGAAATAGGCTTACATGGCCAAAAATGACCAAGTTCAGAGCTAACACCAGTATTTCCAGATCTGAGCATGTTCCAGGTGTTGGAAGAGAATACAGAGGGCATAGAAGTGTAGCAGAGAAGGCCTAGAAGCCATAGCAAAAAGAATTGTAGCAGTAGCATGAGTGGTTGACTCAGAATGGAGTGAACAAGGTGCCAGCAAAGCAAGATGATGGTGGTTCAAGTTCAAAAGGGAAAGTTTACTATTATTTACCAGAAGCTTTGAAGTACCCAGGAAGTTTAGGGCATGTCCACATTCCTTATTTGGGAACTTTTTCCCACAGTACATGAATTATAGCCCCATGTCATACATTTCTAAATGTACTGAAATCACATGACCAGGATGATTTCTTATTGAGAAAAATATATAAAAACATGAAAAAATAGGTGTCTTTGCATATATCTCAGGAAAGAAAATAGCTAGTCACATTTTGTGACCACATTGAGAAATATAACAGCATGCTCTATAAAACTGTCCCTAATTTCCTTTTCAGGTCAATTTTCCCACGGTACCAGAAACACAGCCTCTCACTTAGCTTTATTAACAAGAATTGTAGCCCCTTTGCTTAGCTTTACAAATATATATAAATAATGTCACACAGATCATTCCTTATTGAGAAAAACACAAAATACTGAAAAAATTGGACACTTTTTGAAAATAGTCATGTATTTTGACCAATATCTGCATAAGAAAGAAGGCTAGTCAGATGATATAATCACATTTCTGATATTTAATGTTGCTATACTATTGGAGAGGCTGTATTCAGGGTCCAGGATACACTTCCAAATATGGGAATCTGCCCAAATATAGCTAAATTATTGTGTACAAGTTTCTTCACTTTTTCCTCATTTTCCAGCTGTTTTCTCTGAGTTGTTTTTTTTTCTGTCTATATTTAGATATGGACCCTGAACACAGCCCCTTCAATATCATGACAACAGCAAATATCATTCTGATTTTTCTTCCCTTTTTTGGCATATTTTGTAATCATGTTATACAATCTATCTGGCTTTGTTCTATTTTTAGAGATGGACCCTGAACCCTGAACACAGCCCATTCATGATCATGGCAATGGTGAATACCATGCTTATTTTTCACTTATTTTGCACTGCTCTCAACCTATCTGTTTCCATTTTTCAGACAGCTTTCTATATTTG